ATATGGATACTAGTGACTCTTATGATCTTAATCTTATGATCTGACTCTTATGATCTTAATCGTAAGATCTGACTCTTATGATCTTAATCGTATGATCTGACTCTTATGATCTTAATCGTATGATCTGACTCTTATGATCTTAATCGTATGATCTTACTCGTGATGATCTGGTTTGAAAGATTTGTAATAAACGGGCAAACAGAACAACCGTGAAACGTATTCTATTCGAACCAAGGTCACTTCAATTACGCATAATAATAATGAAACAAAATAATGATTTCTAGCGCATTTACTCGAGGTACGAGGAATTACGCCATTTATATGCATAACCATGTTGACGTGGGAACAAATGTGTCAATGAGATATGGTCAAAAGCGACATGTGTATGACCAAAAATGGTTGCAATAAATGCTTATCTCCTTTAAGTTAACCTTCTCGGAATCCAAATTCCACTTGAAACAAAATCAACAACACCTTTAGCAGGTACCGCTCGAAACGTCAGCATTTGTAATCGTTACGGTGGCCAATTTACATTTCAACTTTGTTGATATATCCAAATTATTTTGTTTCTATTAGCTTCTTACCACAATTTTCAACCTTAAAAGGAGTACAAATCTCCGAATCTCAATGGCTTTTTAAATGTATAGTTCGATACATTACTGGTCAGACACATTGTACTGTAGCCAAAAACACAGAGTTAATTCAGTTGAGGCTACATCCACTCAAACCAAATCGCCATAATTCAAAACTTTTATTTCACTCGAAGATTTGATGGGTTATTTACAGTCGACTGAATGATGGGAAAGTCGAACGACAAAAGGTCTGGTAAACTAGATAAACTCACCAGAACTACGTCTATAACTAGCACGACCGTCAAAAGTTTCTTTGAGATTGGCTTGGGTGTCACTCCCAACTCCCCTGGGAGTCCGAGGTTTTACCGGTCACATTACTTTTGGCTGGAATCGCCATGTGCTCGGGTTTGCGGATGTTTGCTTAGGTTTTATCCATTGAAGAGAGTTTTAAGAAGGGCGTTATTGTGTCTTTCGTTGGCTTAAGCGAACGGTTCGGTGAGTTAATATTTGTTTTGTTTTTTTGTCGTTCAGTCAGGTATTTGGAGTTTGATGCCTTCTTTGTTTTGTTATTTTCAGAAAAACCTTAGTTACTTTCACTTTCATTGACCGAGGCCGTGCGGCCAATGTATGAGCTCGAGTTTTCGACGTTCGTTTGAGATAAATAAACACAGTACTACGGTACTAACATTGGGGTTTTTGTTTTTTACGAGTCTGCATGATAACTAAAATATTTGCATAAAGGACGAAAGGGCAGACGTAAACAACTAGATCGTGACGTTGTTTGCCGATCGCTTAAACTTGGTCAAAAATATATCTTACCTGGCACTTTGCTCCGCAGAATGGCAAATCCTAAACATTTGAAGCGAAACGAAATCTTGGAAACAAGCTATAAGAAATCCGCCACTGAGTAAAACTACTTTACCCAAACTCGACGCTGACAGTCAACTCATGGTTTCAAAAATATTTACCCACCAGCAAGGTACAACTGTTATGAATTTTTTTATTTTTTATAAACGCATTGAAATTTCCGTGACTCCACTTTATCTATCTTTTCCTTTGCTTTGAAATATGCGCGAAATAACGTTTTCTACAAATTTATAAAAAATTCGTTCTTGGATAATACAAAGTTCTCTGATGTGTTGTTGCACAAGTTTATTTTGAAAATTTTCATTCCACGGTCTCCCGACTCTCACGGACTGCCGGACTGCAGAAGAACGAGATGAAAAATGATAAACTCGAGCTAATTGAAATTTCCACGGTTTCCGATATCCAAATTTAATCGACGGAAAATAGAAAAAAATCTCTAAATCGGAGCTGACGTGCAATTTTTTACAATTGAGGCCATTCAGTTATCGCTTGACTTGACTCGGACAAGCGTGTTTTGGGAGACATTTTCATGTTACCAATTTGTTTACATCTTTTGTACACGTATGCACTTACCTTAAGATCGATCGGAACACTCGTTGAGTATATTTACGACTGCCATCGAACTAGAAACTAATTTCTTGAGAGGGAACTTATAGTTTTTGTGCTGTTCAAAGCTCACAAATCGAAGCTCGCCCAGATACCGCAGTAAAACACAGATATGGCGTTGAAAGCAATTACATTAATTGGCATCGTTTTCTTGGTAAGTGAGTTTTTGACTGACTCTATCATGTGTCGAGGCTTAGTCATTTCAATCGATATTTTAATTGTAAGGTGCTTTCGGATAGAGCCAAGATCCGGATCTAGTTCAAAACTAGTTATTAATCAGAAAAAATATTAGATTTTGAAAAATGCAATATATAAAGCGGTCTGGGGAAATGAATGTAAGTCAAAGTTTGAAACTGTACAGGTTCAGTTCTCAACAACTCGCCTCATAACTCTTCCCGTGCCAAAATCAATGCGTTCTCTTAAGAATGCGGCCAGCCCGGTTCTCGAGATCTGACACAAGAAAAACTTTATGAATCTGCATTGATTGAAATAAAAACAGGGAGCAATTTTTCAGGCAAGGGTTGCCCATCTCAAAAACGATGGTAAGTTGCCTATAAAATTTAGCTGAACATCATCATGATAAGAACTACTTTTGACAATTTCTTGCTGTTTCTTATGAGTATCTAAAAATAATCGTATGCGTCTGATCGAAGGATTGTCCCCGACTAAAAAAAGCGATAGAATGAATCCGTGAAGACGAAAATATAACGTAGAATAAAACATTTAATCTTCCTATCTTAGATTCCTTAAAAACTACAAATTATTATGATATCTACAAACTACGTATGAGTGAAATGTTGATCGTTATTTCATATCGTTCGTTATCTCTATTTAATTTAGAAATTTAAAGAAAACGAGAAAACTTTCAAGTTTAAAAGACATGTTTCGGACAGAAACCTCTGTCATCTTCAGTTGATTAACAAAGTTGAATTTATAAGTACATGCTAATTAAGCTAGTAACAACAGAAAACATGACAATGTGAAAATTATAAGGATAGCTTTAGATTTACATGATGTAATTGTTGATTCAAAGAAGGTTGTTCTCTTTGAATGTGAATAGCTTCTTTTATCTTGAGTTGGAAACTCGTGGAGGCGTGATCTAAGATATGGAAACAATCTACTAAACACAAGGCGCGACAATGTTCAGAATTCTGTAGATGTTTGAAAACGTGAGAGGCCCTATCACTGACTAAGTGCTCACGCACGCGTGTGGAAAAATGCC